ATATCTATCTATCTAGCATTTTTTTTCTTTCTTTCTCTGATTACTTCTCATTTTGCTATTTCTTTCTTCTTGACTTCACATCCTTCTATGATTCTTCCTATTTTCCTTTCCCATTTGTTGGGAGCATTTTTATTTATTTTCATTTAATTTTTTCACATATACTTTCTTTTTTTTCTTTCTTTCTTTCTTTCTTTCTTTCTTTCTATTAATTTCTTACCTTCTTTCCATCCTTACTTCTCATTTTGCTATTATTATTTCTTTCTATCTATCTATCTATCTATCTATCTATCTATCTATCTATCTATCTATCTATCTATCTATCTATCTATCGCAGTCTTTTCATATCTATCTATCTATCTATCTATCTATCTATCTATCTATCTATCTATCTATCTCTGATTACTTCTCATTTTGATATTCTTTCTTTCTTCTTCACTTCACATCTTTCTATTTTTCTTTCCCATTTGTTGGAGAGCTTTTTTTTTATTTATTTTCATTTAATTTTTTCACATATTCTTTCTTTCTTTCTTTCTTTCTTTCTTTCTTTCTTTCTTTCTTTCTTTCCAGAGATCCTCTTGTCTTTATTCATTTTAGTCACACTCTCTTTTTCTCTCATTCTTTTTTCATATTTCTTTCTATCTTTTTTATATTCCTTTCTTCCTTCTTTCTTGCCCATTCCCCCTTATTTTCCGACAGAATTTAACAGATTTTGTTTCTAAAATTCCTTTTTTAAAAAAACAAAAATGTGCTTCTGGTCCTTGGCCAAACTCTCTGTGTCAAAATTAATCCGCTGTTTATCAGGGATGGAGAGATTTCACTTTCCTCCGTCCAGTAATTTTAGCATTGATCCTTTTCGAATATTAATACTAGAAACTCCTAACGTACCTACTGCGTTGCTTGAAGGTTTATCGTTAGATATTTTATAACGACGACAAAAATAGAATATGAATAGAAAATAAATGCATTGATTCTGGTTTTACTACAGAAATGGATTGTAAATGATTTTTAAATGCAATTGCATTGGAAAGACAAGAATCGATTCTAATCCAGAATCAAAATATGATTTATTAACATCTGTCTATATTTCTGAGAAGAGGTACTGCAATTATTTACACTATTTACATTGTTTGGTCTGTTGGCCTCATTTTCATTGCCATATTCACGAAGTTTCGGCCGTTATACGCTCCGACTTTCTTCAGGATCTGTCGATATTTCTGAGATGAGGTACTGCAATTATTTGCACTATTTACATTGTTTGGACTGTTGTCATCTTTGTTACCATATTCACGGCGTTTGGGTCGTTGTACGCTCCGGGATTCTTCGGGATCTGTCTATATTTCTGAGATGAGGTATTGTAATTATTTACACTCTACATTGTTCGGACTGTTGTCCCCATCTTGATTGTCAACATTTAGGAATTGATACAATCATTACTGACCGAATTGGGCAATTCTATGAATAATGCAAGTGTACAATTATAATATTCATTAAAGAATTGCTTTCGAAATCCAAAAGGTGATTGTCTATGGTTAGGGATTAATGCATGTGCTACTGATAGAATAGGGCTATTCTATACATAATGTAAAATCATTGCTAATTCCTATCGATTGAAACACATTGCTATCAAAGAAATGTTTTCCTACTGGATAGGTGTTAAAATGTTACCGACAGAAACGGGTTATTATATGTATATTGGTAAAATAGTAAGGCAAACTGGGATCTTCAACTGTGGTTGGTAACCAATGTAGTAGAAGGAAATCTCTGAATTAAAAAAATGTATACGATTCATGTGTAGCATATACAATTCAGCCATGGACGACATCATGAAGTTTATAACAGCTATAGTATCAGATCAGTACAATAATATTTCAGATTCTTCCTTGGATTTTGTTGTTTGGATAATGCAGATGCATTGCTAAAAATGTTACAAGAGAAATATATTAATAAACAGATTCAAATGGATTGTCATTGATCAAGAATTAATGCGAACTTTTAGAAGAACAAGAATGATTTCTGATAGGATATGCTTGTTATATGTGTAATGTAAACGAATTACTTGATTCTGGAAATGCATTGCTAAATATCTTAAATCTACTGAGAGAATATAGCGTGCTTATGAATAATAATGATAATAATAATAATAATAATAATAACCCTCTCCTACAAATAGTAAAACACCGAATCCACTCCATCAACAAAGAAGCTTTGCTCTTCAAGAAACAGCTTAATATACCTGAAATCCTACCAACCAAAAAAATGAAGCGAATACCATCTATACCAAACGAGTAAAGCAGGAAACAAAACAAATTGACCAAATGAAATTACAACAAACCTGGGAGGACAAGGCGTTGCATGGAAAATACATAAAAAACGTAAAGAATAACGGAATTATTCGTTTTGTTTCAATTAATCAAGGGTGTAGGTGATCATGGCCCTCCACATCTTCCTGTATAATTAATTTTCATAAGGGTGTACAGTTCCCACCTTTCGGGGGTAAAATGTGTATTCTCTTCGGTTGTTTTATTTTTATTTATTTATTGCAAAAATATTCAGTGGACGATGTCATGATGCCATTTGTGAGCTTAGGTCTCTGGTTGGTAGCCGAAAGGATATGACTATAAAAGGGAAATGAAAGGAAATGCTCGTAGTAAAATGCAAATTCAACATTATTAAACAGAAGTTGAATGAAATTAAAAGATTGGACGCCAAGACAAGAAAATGCTCACCCAAATGAACCATCTGAACTCAGATGTTTATAAACTGGATGTAGGAAAAGCTTGTATTAACTCTAAAAACCACAACAGTCAGATTGGAAGCCTACCTCACAAAAACCAATGACCCTCTCCTGCAAATAGTAAAACACCAAATCCACTCCATAAACAAAGAATTTGAACTCTTCAAGAAACAGCTTGATATACTTGAAATCCTACCAACAAAAAAACGAAACGAATACCATCTATGCCAAACGAGTAAAGCAGGAAGCAAAACAACTTGGACAAATGAAATTGCAACAAAACTGGGAGGGTAATGCGTTAAGGTCCATCCTGAACTGTTAGATTCCCAGCTATGGATCAAAAACTTTGAGGAATACTTGCAACAGGGCTAAAATTTGAAATATTATTTACTTTACATTTGTGCCAAAACTTCCTTTCTTTAAATTTTATTTTATAAATGCAATAATTTTATATCCGTAAAAAAGATAGCTACAATTCCAATATGTGCGGATTTTAAGAAAAATTCTTACGATGCTAAATAAATAAACCAAGTGAACAGAGTTTTTTTTTTTCTGTTATTTATTACACGTATATATAATGGGCCTCCGGTGGAGCAATGAATTGCGTCTCGGATTGGTGAATTGGCAGAGCCGAGTTCAAATTCCAGTCAAATCAATTACATTCACTTACGTGCTTATAACCTTGGGAAAGGTAGGAATTCTCCTTTTCTCCCTCCAGCTATGGTTAAAGAGCAGGACAGACCGGGTTCTATAGCCTTGAATGGCAACTGGCCTACCGCAGAAAGAAATGGCAACCTACTGCGGGAAAAACCTTCCTCGTCAGTCATGTATCGAAAGATACATGATCGCCTAAGCGTGTATCACGCATAGCACATAACTGAATGATATTCACTTACGTGATAATACTCTTGGGAAAGGTATGAATCCTGTTGCTCACCCTCCACCTATGGTGAAATAGCAGGACAGACCGGGTTTTATAGCCTTGGATGGCAACTGGTCTACCATAGAAAGCAATGGCAACCTACTGCGGGAAGAAATCTGTCTCGACAGTCGTGTATCGAAAGATAAATGATCGCCTAAGCGTGTATCCCGCATCGCACATAACTGATAATGGACCTCAGTGCAAAATATGGTTCTTGCTGTTCGTCGGAGTAAACGATAGTCTGAAAAACGCCGACAATCTAACTATTGACCAAAAGCGAGGAGACATTTTTTTGTTACATTTAAAATTTGACCTTGGTTTAAGAGGGTTTGAGACAGATTCTGAAAGATCAATCCACTTTTAGCTGAAATATGGCGAACTGCGCGTTTCTTTTCTAATCGTTTATTTTTTTAATGATTATAGCCCCATACATTTAAGATGGCAGTCAAACTCCTCTCCTCATTCTGGTAAGATGTTAAGGTCAAATTGGATTCGCATAAAGATCCTTCGATTTTGTATCGATGCCGATCAAGATACTGGAGAATGCGACGAAAGAAAAATTTGCTGAATTCTCTGATAATTTAATGCCTTCTCGATTGGATTATCGAATAAAACAAATTCATCTATTCGTGTAAACAAGTCTTATTTTTCTCTCTCTCTTTAATCCTATGTGAAAGGGGTAAAGCACTCAATGTTAATACTTTAAAGTCACGTTTTGATTTTATTAAATATTGTACGTAGCTTTTTGTGCTTTTGGGTTCTTGATGAGTTTTTATTTGTTTTAATTGATTAAAGTGTTCAAGTACAAATGAGAAGGAGAGATAAACTGAAGAAAGGCTCAAAATTCATTGGGAGAAAATGTAAAGAGCTAAAAACTAGAGTATGCGTAGAGAGAACGGCGGATAAATAACGAGTGAGAGGCAGAGGAGAAATACAAAAGGTGCAGAGGGGTGGCATAAAAAGAAGGAGGCAACAGAAAGATAAAGTGAGGGAATGAGAAGAAGCGGCAGAAGAGAGAACTAGGCAGAGGAATATAGCGGGGAGGCGAATGGAGATGAGGAAATGAAGCCGTGGTAGAGTAAGGAGGAGGCGGATTTAAAAAGAGACAGACAGAAGACGTAGAGGAAGAAGAGTGAGAATACGAGAGATGACAGAAGAATAAGATAAGAGGGTGGTTAAAGAAGAAGCAGTAGGCAGAGGAAGGGGAGAAAAGAAACAGAAAAGAAGGAAGGAGGCAGAAGAAGGTAAATAAATACGCAGTGGGAGAGGGGAGAAGGTAGAGGAATATGGAAAGCAAGGAAGAGGAAGACATCGAGAAGAAAAATGGAGGCAGATTAATAAGTGTTAGAGGAAGTTAGTGATGAGATAATGGCAAGGAAGTAAAGAAGAAGAGAAAAAAGGGGGAGAAAATGAAGGACAAGACAGATCAAGAAGAGAGAGAAAAAGTCGAAGATAACGATGAAATAGGAAACAGTAGAAAATAATGTAAGTCAGGAAGAGAATTGAATAAACAGACGATAATTTCTTCTTCGGTAAAAAAGACAGAAAGAAATTCAAGAATATGAAAAAAAGACTAAACAATGATCTAAGTAAAATGATAAGGAAAGAAAAAAAAATTAAATTTAATAAAATTACGGAAAAAGAGAATAAAATTAAAATTAAAAGCACATGAAGAGAAAATGTGAAAATGAAGCCGAAGGAAATCTGAAAAGAAGGAAAAAAGAATAATGAAGATCACAAAAAAGGGATTTCAAGGAAGAAAAATAAAGAATGAAAAAGATAAAATAGAAAAGTCCAAACGTGGAAAGAAGGATTAAAGAAACTAAATGAAAATAGAAACAAAAGAATAAAAAGACATGAAAAATAAAACAAGAAGCCAAAAAGAAAAGAAAATATGAAGAGAAAGAAAAGGAAAAAAGAATGAGAAGAAAGAAAAGAAAAAAGTGCAGGGGAAAGTGAAGAAAAGATGGGAAAAAGAACATGTAGAAGAAAAAAGAATGAGAAAAATAGAGGAGAAAAATATGGAATGAAAAGGGAAAAGGAAAGAAAAGAAAGAGATGAGAAGAATGAAAAAAAGAGAGAAAAAACGACAAAAATACAAAAGATCTGTAAGAGAGATAGAGATAGAAACGGACTGAGATAGATAGATAGATAGATAGATAGATAGATAGATAGATAGATAGATAGATATGAACAGGCTGAGATAAATAGATAAAAAGAGAGGAACAGATTGAGATAGATAGATAGATAGATAGATAGATAGATAGATAGATAGGAACAGACTGAGATAGATAGATAGGAACAGACTGAGATAGATAGATAGATAGATAGATAGATAGATAGATAGATAGATAGATAGATAGATATGAACAGGCTAAGATAGATTGGAACATTTTGATATAGACGGAATAATTAGAGAGATAATGAAGAGAATAGCATATAATAATAATAATAATAAAAATAATAATAATATAGAAGAAGAAGAAGAAGAAGAAGAAGAAGAAGAAGAAGAAGAGATTTCCCGCCATTAATGAACAATTCCGGGGATTCTTCATGGACGAAAACAATTCAAATACAAAAGCTTCGTGATGAACTTATCTCAATCTTAATTACACTGATGCAATTAAGTCCTATTAATTGATAAAAAAAAATAATTTCATTAAGTTCTACGTTTGCCTACAGAAAGAAAAAGCACGCGAGGGAGAAAAAAAAATTAAAAATAAAAGAAAAAAAACAACAATATATGATCACGGTTAGAAAATAAAAGACATTTCTTTTATTCGAAAGGAATATTTATGTCTTCCCCCGAAACATTTTTTTTTTTTTTACTTAATTTACTTAGCAATCTTTTGCTGATAGTTTTGGCATTGGGCATCGTGGATTTTACAAAAAAAAAAAAAAAAAAAAAACAGTCGAAGAGCCCAGTTTGTCCTATTATTTTACCTAGATTATACACCTAAAATATACAGTGAAAAATCTATTCTGCTGCCGTTTGTCTACATCCGCGGCTTACGTCCAAACGTGTGGGTAGGTTAATCGATAATGGTCCGGAACTGTTAATCGGAGAGCCGAGTTCCAATTCACATTGGGTTATTTATATTCACTTGCACACAAATAACGTTTTAGAAATGTATGAATCAATATCTTCTCCTCCATGTATGGGTTAATTAGTAAAACTTGCATCACTGAATCATTATTATCTCCAAATAAAAAATAAAAATTCTTACAATCTAAAAATATTTTATGGCTTTAAATATCCGGCAAAGTTTTGAGAAACCGTAAAAAAAAAACAAATCAATTAATTAAAACCACAGTGAACGAACGTAATTTGAAGCAGAAATTCACAGGTAGATGTTGCTATCATTAAATACAATAAGATTAAATATTTATTTTATATATAAATAATGCAGAGAGTGTGGTTAATACTGTTAGACACTGCAAGCACCCTGCTTTTATCGACTACATATTAATATGTCTCATAATAGACAGTTGTAGTAATCTACAAAAGCCACCTATCGTTTATACTGCAACAATACTTAGTTGATCTCAGTTACAGTTTCTGGAGGAGAACGCATAATCTAGCAAGATCAACACGTTTGAACAAAGCTCCTATGCTAAAACCTTGGTCACGATTCCTTGTGAAGTCGTGCTAACACGACAGTTTCGTCTCCCCAATTTTACTCAGAAGGTTTGAGTCAATCCATGGTATGCATTCCAGGCTCTTTGTAACGGTAAACCACGTTGGGGTCACACTACCCCTCCAAACTAAGAGTCGCATGACTAGAAAGAACAGTTTTATATATTTACCCCACCAGACCATCATCTATATCGTATTATAAAAATATAATCCTTAAAAAAAGCCTCCTCTCCTAAAAAAATCTTGCCAATTTATTTCATCTGAATAAGCCTAAAAAATTTGGGTGACAGAACTAATTTCAACTTGAGAGTAATTTGCAGGTAAAGCTCCGCGTTTATTTTCTAATTAAAAATTCCCCGTATAGATCCATTTGGGCGTCCTGGGTAAGACGTTAAACTACATCCGCGTCCTGGGTAAGACGTTAAACTATGTCCAGCTGCAAGGCCTCTGATCAGGAGGTTTTGAGGAGCGTGGAACCACCTCTTAATCGCTGGTGTTCCCAGGTCCACCAGGACCGGGGTGGTAGCACCTGTTAGGGTCCCAGCTATGGGTAAATAGTTAACTAATACCAGCAATACTTTTTTTTGAAAAAAATTATTACCAACAATATAATTTTGAAGGAAATATATTACCAGAAACAGATTTTTGACAAAACAAAATATCACCAGCAATAAAATTTTTTGTCGGCATTAAATAACCCCCGAGGTTGATATGCCGTAAAACAAAATAAACCAAACCAATCCATCATACTTATTATAAAACCCAGGTTGTGTGTGTGTGTGTGTATGTGTGTGTCTGTTCGTTTATATATTGGATCGGATTTCCTACATTTTTCAACCGATTTCAACAAAACTTCACAGGACTACGTAAAATTACGTTGCGGTGGTTCTGACAGAAAAATTGGAAAAACACAATTGTTTTTGCACGAAATCAATTTAAAAACACGATTAAGAGGCATCACGAGAATGAAAGGGGGACAACTCATATCGAGTTATACTTATTATAAAACTCAGGTTGTTTTTGTGTGTGTGTCTGTGTTCGTTTATATATGGGATCGGATTACCTACATTTTTCAACCGATTTCAACAAAACTTCACTTTTTTTGGCAGGTAGTGTTTGCTATTGTCTTGCACACTTTTTTCTTTATTTTTACATTCAGAATGCTTTAAAAATTCCATTTACAAGATTTGTTTATAATAAAATTCTATTCAATCGGTAGACTCATAACGATTGAAAACAATGTTTTTGTTTGAGTTTGACCAATTCGTAAAACAAAAACAAAAAAAACAAAAAACAAAACAAAAAAAACTAATTAAGACATGCGTGTCCGTCAACCTTAAACAAAAATGTTTGTCAATTTTATTTTTCAGTCTTTATGATGGTCGATACTTGATCTATCTCTTACTGTTACATCCCCGGGCAACGCCGGGCTCTAATGCTAGTTTGTATATAAATGTACATGCTGAATTCGAAAATAATAAGAAATTACCGTTTTGGAGTTATCGACAGAATTTCGGACTCATTCACTTTGCAGTGGCTGAAACTGAAATTAATTCTGTCACCCAAAACGTTGTTTGCACATATAAAATACTAGATTGGTGCTTTTCGATGTGATCTAGTAGTTAACAAGCTTGTCACACTAGAACGATTATGACTTAGTAGTGAGTTCGATCCTTGCTAGATGCCCCATAGTTTCGTCTTTGTCCCACATTTAAGCTACGCTTAGAAAATCACCCTAAAATACTAGAATGGCAGCCCTCGAATGGCAGCGAGGTCTCAACATTTTACAGTTGAAATTTCTAAATGCAACCTTACGTTCTGTTCGTATAGTTTTCATGTCTCACCTCTTGTATCCCTGTCACCTATGTTCAAAAATTTAAATACATTGGAACACCTTCTGTGTCCTTGATAACTCTTCCCTTATTGTCTTTTCACCTCACTCTTTTCATTTTCTTCCATTCCCAGAAATCCCTTGCGTCCTGGTGGCCTTAACCTATCGCTTGGTGTGAAATGATTTTTTAAAAAAATGGCTGCTTGGTTTCTATGTTTGTAATGCGTCTCACACTAAAATACCGTACGAGAAGTCAGTCATGTAATGTTTCAACACTCGTAACAAAAAAAAGAAGAAAAGAAGCTATCTACCCGTTGTTTTTTCGTCTAATTTTGCACCCCCACACAACCGCCATTTTCGTCATCATCTTTTTTTTTTCTGTGCAGTGATAACCTGTGATTGAGCTGTGACGTCAGTTTGCAATTTCCTGGGCCTCTTCGACGTCATTATTTTTTTTCAGAATATCTGTAATTTTTTTTTTTAATTTTATTCCCACCTCGCGAAATGCTACACGCACCCTCTCCCCGTAAAAGGAATGAAGAGACGAATCCTCAGCACTTAGTCATTTTATTTTTGTTTTTTTTTTTGTTTTGTTTTTTGCGTGTGTGTGTGTGTGTAAGAATTTAAATTTCGGAGGAGAGTCGGTTAGTTCGAGACTCGAGAAAGAAGAAGGGATTGTCAAAAAAAAAAAAAAATTTTAAAAAAAAAGGGAAAAATCCGACAGAAGAAGCGGGAAAATCTGCCGGAAGATGTAGAATGGTGTACAAGCAGAGACATTTTACAAGTTTAAAAAAAATAAAAATAAAAGTAAAAATAAGAAGCATAGCAAATAAAAAAAAAGACGATGAAAATAAAATTAAAAAAAAAAACTTGACTAAAACAATTACAGATCGAAAAAACGTTTCTTTTAACGAATTTATTGATTTTTAAACAGTAATTTAATTTTTTTAATGCTATTTTTTTGTGGGATTCTATTAAAAACGTTTTTTGTTTGTTTTTGGTTTTTCTTTTTTCTGATGACTTATTTAACGACATTCACTTTTAGGAAACTTTCGCGTTTTACTGATAATGTATGCCACTGCCACAATAAATGATTGGCAAAAAAAAACTCTTTTAAGGGGTGCGCTGAGATATAATTGTTAGAGTCTCCTTACGTGAAATAAGCCAGCCAAGTTCAAATTCCAATCAAAATCATTACCTTCCCCTTCTCACAAATACCCTTTGGAAAGGTAGGAATACTTCATTTCTCCACATTCAGATATATGTTAAATAATAGGGTAGACTATGCTATCTAGCCTTGTTTGGCAACCAGTATAAAGAATGACCGTTCTGAATTCAAAACGCCATGTTTGCCTGGTGGGGTAAGTATCTGAAAACTAACAAAGGTACGTTAGATACAGTTGTGGTATAAAGCACAGGTTCGATTTGTATGCTTTGAAGAATCATAAATTGCCCTGAGTAGATGGCTATGCATGAAACTCCGCGGCATTTCAGACTGAACTCTTTAGTAGATTGTTTTCATTCCACTGGCAGTGCATAGATATGTCACATCTGGATTTGATTTCTTAGTGCTCAGTGCACACTGCCCGAGCCAGGGATCGAACTCTTGTAACCAGCACTTTAATCCACTAGGGACAATCATCAGGGGAGTAATTCGGCTTCTGTTGTGGCTGCTTCTGCTGTTGAAGAAGTGCTGCTGTTTCTCTTTCATTGCTTATTGACGGTTTGATCAAATATGGATCAGAATTCGACAGGATGATAAAATAAAGAACAAATAGAAAATGTATATCAATGTAATATGTTTCAAATTTATGACATTTCCATCAGAGATTGAGAGAAACAGACCAAAGGACATTAACACTGGTCTTTTCAATTATGTTTCGGTCACTTCTCATTGGTCAGATACATGTCACGTGTATTAAAAC